GAGACGTTCCGCGACCGTCCGCGCGAGACCTGCTTGGATGCGGCGGACCAGCTCGCCGTGCTGCTGGCGCCCGTGCTGGCTGCGCCCGCGGAGGGTGGCGCTGCTGCTGCGGGACAGCTGGACGAGGCTGTCCGGAGCTTGAAGCGGCATTTGCGCGCAGGATCTGGAGCTGCGGTGATCGGCGCAAGCACGCTTGTGGTCCGGGAGCTGTGGCGCTCCCTGACGGGCGTTCTTCACGCCCTTGGAGCTCTCTCTCTCTCTCTCTCTCTCTCTCTCTCTCTCTCTCTCTCTCTCTCTCTCTCTCTCTCTCTCTCTCTCTCTCTAATGGTCCTTGTATTGATATAGCAGGAAAGTACAAGCATGCAAGTTATAGAGGCTTAGGTAACAAACAAGCAAGCCACAAGAACCACAAGTCCCCTCTACATCTCCACTAGGGGCTCAATGAATGCAGAGCAGTCCCCAAGGTGTAACTCATCCCCGATCCCCCCCACAGGCGGGTTCTCCGCTGCTGCAGCCTCCCCTAGTTTGAGCAGGAGACCCACAGACTGGGTCCTTTGGAGGGCCACTGACCAACATTGCTGGAACTGATGCAGGGACTTTGCAGCATAGAATGATTTGGAGTCGGCGTTGAAGTGGCGCCGAGCTGCAGTGTCCGCCAATAGCTTTAGGAAAACGAGCACCTCGGCACAGGGGCAGCCGTAAGTATCCACTGCCAGAGGGAAGAAGTTCACCGTATCTGGCCGGGCAGCGTAGTGTTTGATCTTCTTGTCAGCCTGCTCCCGTGCCGCCCAGCCCCTGCCCTTCTGTGCCTCCGGGTCTCTCGTGCTAATGGATCCGTAATGGTGACGTCACACATGTAGACAGCGCCGCTGCTCCTGTCTGTCTTAAAGTCCGCGGTCTGTTCCTCGATGGGGCAGTATGCCGTGGTCTTGCTGTGGACAATAAACCCCGCGTCTTGGGCCATGCTAGTGCAAGCATCCCGCAGCTCGTTGTGGGTGTTGATACAGTGCTTGCCCGTGCCGCAACGGAGAAGGTGGTTAGGGAGGCGGGGGTCAGTGATAGCGGTATGGTTTGAGCCGTCGTAGTTTTTAGGCGTGGAAAAAGGGAGGGCCAGCCGGAAGCGCACGGCATTGGAGAAGTGAATGGGCCCTATCCTCTTGTTCGCCGCAATGGGGATAGCCGTCAACCGGTCCCCGGTCCCGTAACCTGTCAGCAAAAACATCCGCTGCGTGTGTCCGCACAAGGGGTTCAGCGCCATCTGCCGAGTCTCCTGTACCTGCACGGCATGTCTGCTCCCATGCACCTTCAAAGCCAGGGCATGCTGTAATCTCACATCCGATCGCTCCAGCCGCTCCTTCTCTAGGAGTTCCCGTGCGTCAAGGGGCAACGCGGCTTCGCACTCGGTGAGCAACGCGTGAAGGGGAGTGCTGACGTCGGCAGGCAGCAGCATGTGGTTTCGGGCCTGCGACAGCGCGCCAGACGGCGCACACTCTATGGATGCCAGGAAAAGAGCGGCCTGTGTGAAGCTTGCCGCGAAACCGTACACCCCTTCAATTAAGGGGTCCGTAATGCCTACCCCCCCAGCGATGGCGGTAGCGAAGCTTGCGCCCAAACGCGAGCTTGCTCTTTGCGGCAGGTTGGGACGCGGATGTCGCATGCAGTCAGCGACGTCGTAAGTAAATCCTTCCCCCACTGGCTCCAGGTATCGCGGTTCAGTAAGCGGAGCGGCGTCGTCCTGGTGAGATATGCCACCCGCCTCGAGATACAGCGTGTGAGCAGCAGAGACGCGACCTGGGGATCAGCTTTCTCCAGGAGTGGTAGTGTTGTCGCCATTTCTTGTAGCTGTCCCGACAGGAACTGCGCCGCCCCTCGGTCGGGGCCTACTAAACTCCCCAGCTGATGCACGCCGTCCCTGGAAAAAGGGACTCCTGGCGGGAGTTGATCAGTCTTAGCTGCTGCTCTGCTCCAGGCTGCACACTTACGCGGGTTGTGTGCCAGCCCCAATTGTGTTAGGTTGGATGTGAAGAAGTTGAAAGCCGCTACAGTGTCAGCCATGTTCCCAATGAACGTGACATCGTCTGCGTAGGCCAGACAAAGCACGCCCGGGTGCGTGGCAGCGGTGTCGCGAAGTGTGGCGTGGATCCCAGCCGCGAACAATAATGGACCCAATGGGTCTCCCTGACGGACTCCGCGTTCGCTCCGCAGGGGTTCGGAGTTGAAATTGACATCCAGGAGAAGTTGCGACGGGTTACCGTAGGTTAGTTTCACGAATGGCAGTAGTGGCGAGGGGGCGGGGTGCTGTAACGCTGTGGCGATGGCGTGACGCGAAATGCTGTTGAACGCGTTTGCAATGTTCGCTTGCAGAACGAGGCTGGTGGGGCGGGCGTCCAGGTAGGCTCTGGCCGCGTGGATTACTGTTTCGGCTCCTCCTGGCACAGCCACGCCGTACTGTAGGGGCAGGAAGAAATCGCGGGCCACTTCTCCCATTGCTGACAGGGCCGCCTTGGCAGCCAGCCTCGTTAGGCATTCGCCTATCGCGATAGGCCGAGCCCCTCCCCCAGGTTTGATCAAGGTGATCAGTCGTGACGCAGTGAGGAGGTTTGCCACCGAGGTTGGCAAATTCCCTCCCAGGATGGTGTTTACTAAGGCGTGCAGGTGGGTGCTGACCAGTGCATTTGTAATTGCCGCGTCTCGCAGGTGCTCAAATGTCATGCCTGGCGGCCCAGCTCCAACTCCATTTTCGCATCTGCCCAGCATTTTGGCGAAGTCAGCGTGGGGGATTGAAAGCGTTGACCCTTGTGGCGTGGGCCATGTCACCTCCCCTGCCGCGGGGGGGCCTGGTCCTGCAGCCCAGGTCCTTGCGCAGGCCGCCCTGACTACTGCTTCTGTTCCGGTGGCTCCCCCGGGTCCTCGCAAGGGCTCACGAACGTCTGGCCAAGGAGAGGCTCTTGCTGACTCGCCCGTCCCTGCGCCTGGCTATGTTGCGCCGCCTGTTGCTGCTCATGCCGTGCCTGTTCTTGCTCTAGGGGAGAACGTTGCTCCGCCTGCTGCCGTCCCTGGGGCGCCCGCTCCCGCTCCTGGCCTGCCCGATCCTCCATCTGCTGCTGCCCCTGGCGTGCCCGCTCCTGTCTCAGGCGTGCCCGCTGCGCCGCCTGTTGGTGTCTCTGGCGCGCCTGCTCCGGCCTCTGCCTCGTCCCTGCAGGCGGCGTCCGCCACCACTGGCGGCCCGGCCCCGCTACTGGCGCCTTCCGCGATGGGTCACCCCGCTCCTGCGGCCCCCCCTGTTACGCAGACTGGCCAGCCTGCGCGCCAATCGCGTCCCCATTCACCCGCGCCCCACCAGGAGCGTAGGTCGTCTCGTCGCCGGCGCGATTCTCCCCACCACTGTCAGCAGCCGGCACAATGGCTTGCGCACCTTGGGGGCCAGGAAGACTGGAGGGGTCCCCGTAGGAGTGGGGGTGGGTATCGTCCGCGCGTGACGATGGCAGACCTTCAGCGGGAGGTGTCGAGGGCGGTGCGCGAGGAGAGGGCTGTGCAGAGTCTGAGCAGCTCGATGCGTGCCTTGCCGGCCCCCGAGACCCCTCGCCAGCCTGTGCTCCCGTCAAGTCCGCCTCCTGTTGCTGCACCGCTATCGCAGAATCCCTTCTCGGCGGCTCCAGCTCCGAATGCCTCAGCCCCCGCCCCTGGATCTCGTCTTCACCTGCCACCGGTTCCGCCTGTTGCGGGGGTGGAGTTTGTGGCTGCAGGTGGTGGCTCGGCGGCAGGGCAGCACCCGCCGTCTGCTGCAGTCGATGAGCCGTTCCAATTCCTGGCGGAGGCTATTCAGCCTCCGCAGACGAGCGTTCCCGA